ATATATATATATATATATATATTTATTAAAAACTGAACATTGGATAATGCAATTCTAGCATTTTGATTAGCTTAGCCGTTATGGTATATGAGCTAATATACCATGTTCTCCATATATGGTCAGTGTACGCGTCAGTTTAAAATTGGAAGGTAGCTGAGATTTTTTTTCGCGAAGGATAGAACGGCGCCCGAAGCAAATCGTTTTAATTCATTTCTTAGAATACTAGAAATGCAATTTCAACGAAAGAAAAAAGACAAAAACAAACAAAAAAGCCACAAGAGCTTGTTTGAAAGTTTGTCGAAAAACACATGAAAACACATGGAACTAAAGTACCTTGACCAGCTACGAAAGAAGACAAGTGTTGTTTCTTCATGATCGCGAAGCCATTCCCCGATCGAGTCACTCGCCGATAGATAACTGCAGCTTGTTTATCCGACATCAAGAATATAAATCACAAGTAACCAACTACAAATACAGGCTATGCAGCCATTCACTAGAGCAATCGAGGCGGCAGTATAGCTTCTTTTCTCGTTCAGCAAAACCAGCGTGTGGCTTCAAACAACTTCATAACAAGCGACCGAGGTAATACCGGTAGTTTTTCTCCGTTGTTATTACTTTTACAACTGCACCGAAAATCCAAATTCATAGTAATTTCGACGGCTGTCACTTAAAAATTCCTTTCCTTCACATTATCTGCCAGGTTCTTTTAGCTGTTCTGCTGTGTAAAATCCTAGAATCCCGATGAGTTTTTAAAAAACAAATGTTCATGGCTACAATGTTTTGATTTTTCATTCATGCAGTCTAGGCGAGTCCGTTCGCGCGTTGACAGTTTTGATAGACGTGTGACATGTGAATAGCGGAAGTCTCTTGTCTTTTCCGGTTTGTTCTAGTCGGGGCGATTCAACGAGATTTTGTGGGCGTTTTTAATAAAACAATTATTCCACTCGGGCTTGTTGGATATGAAATGATTATAGCCAACTCGGCGCTACGCGCCTCGTTGGCCATCTATCATCTCATATCCAACGCGCCCTCGTCGAATAATTGTTAAATATATCATTGTTACTAATGTGTTACATTTATATTTTTTGACTGTCTTTTCAACTGATCAATCCTTAATAGTTGACCCTGCCACTCTTTTTTCTTTTACATTTCACTGAGTCTGAGATTTGTTTCAGATTCCAGTGATTCAATATTCCCCATGACTCACACCTCCTAGCATGACATGACAGAAATGTGGGGTATATGGTTACATACAATATGACAAAGTTCAAAACACTACATTTTTTCCAAACAATAATAATGCAGCTAAAATAGAACTTACAAATAACTTGCAGATAGCAGAAATCCACATTGGTTTCATTGACGATTGCAGATGCATCACAGCTATAGTATCCAACATCAGACAAAGAAACATCTTTCACTGAGATCTGATAACAACTAGCAACTTGTTGCAAGTCTCTTACTCCTTTTGTGCTGCACGTTATGTTTTCCCTTGGAACATTTGTGGCATTGCATGCAATGATTGCAGAATCACCTTGATTCACAAATTGAACACCAGGCCTGCAAACAGCTGAGCCTAGAAAATAGAGGCAATAGAGAGATTAAGAGTCGTGTTTATGGCAAATGTCATGTTGAAGTAGAGAATTTCTCAAGCTAGAAAATGATCAGCTAAAACAGTCCAAAATAGTAAAGTTATTGATAAAACTAACATGATTTACTGGTAAATTTTTGTAAAAGAAAAACTGTAAAAGACAACTGTAAAGGAAAAAGTTGGCCATGTGGTGCAAATTCATGTTTGGCATTAGCCATACACGACTCTTAATGGAAAACTGTAAGGGTAAAGCACTAATGATCCACCAGCAAATTTAACGAAAAAGTGCATCAATCATTAAATTACAGCTGAATGCCAACACATTACCTGTACCCACTTGATAAAATAATTATGATAATAATGCATTGATTTTAGTACAATTTAAAGGTGTTAACATGAGCTATGACTTTTTTGGAGCTGTTTCTACAGTGACATTGGCAGAAGATTTAAAATAAAACATGGAAAAAAATGGCTGTAGGTTTCTGCAAAGAATGATTTGGTTTTGCAATTAAATCGACAAAAGAACAGCTAAAGAAATATTCCATAAACCCAAACACAGAAAAAGTACGTCTTTCTGGCTGGCTGGTTATCTTGGTTTAAGCCCCACTGAATTGTCATTTTTTAATGCAACTTGAAATCTTTAAAGTGAGTGAAGACAGAATTACAAAGGATCAAAAAGGATGTCAGAATAAAGATGAGTAAACATTTCGCCTCCTATAAAAATCAGTTATTCCTGAAACGTAACTCTCTCCCACCCTGATTTGAAGGTCAGGCGCACAGACACTCTCCGACACAGATAGTGAAATTCCTGGTCAAAAATAGCTAACACAATAAACCAAGCCCATCGATTACAGACACAATTCAAGGAATACTACTTGAATTCAGGAAAATGAGCTGAGCTATGGAGCTGGTTGGGATATAGAGTAGAAACCTGCCTTATGCCCACCTGGGTAATATGGTCACCTTGATATTACAGCCAAGTTTTTGGCCTGGCAAAACGGCCATACATTTGCTTATAAAACCCTTGTTAATGCGGACACCCATTAATACAGCCATTATCGGCCACATTTTACGGTCCCAAACAAAAGAATATTTTATAATTTCACTTTGTTACGCGGCCATTCTTTCGAAATTAAGAAAATAAAAATGCCTGTGCCATGTCAATTTCATTGACCTAGTTAAGCTGAGCCTGTTCTTGTACTGTTTTTACACTACACTACCCTTAAAATGCATTTGTGGCTGTTAAAAAGCCGATTTTTAATAGCGTTTTATGTAATAAAGGAAAGATTGAAGTAGTTTTTTTTTCAATTACTGTACGTGAGATCGTCTTTCTAGTTGTTTACTAAAGAGAACAGTTGTTCAAGAGGTGTGAATGGGATGTATGGTGTATCATTAAAGGCCTTAATTCCGGTAATATGGTTACCCATTGTTCCACTGTATCCCCAGTGACAATTTTGTCTGAATTTTTCATTTTATTTATTTTTGCATTTATGAAAGTACTTCTAGTCTTTGCGTTAAAAGCAAACACAACTTTCTTTGTTAACTGTACATTTTAAATGGTTATAAAAATTTGACAAAATTTCCCACGATTGGTAGAAATGAACGTGTTTCCGGTGTTTTCAGAAGCTCTAAATTTCAAAATTTTCTGGGGGGAGCCCAGACCCAATCCAAAATGCTACAGTGTATTTAATGGTACATTTTCAATTTGCCAAATTCAAAATCATGACTGATGTTGTGACTTGAAGAACAATGTTTTATGTGCACTGCAAATCAAAGATGCCAGAAAAAAATGTCGGAACATGACGTTAACTTTAATATACTTTCAAAATAAGTGCGACTTTTTAAATTTTAGCAAACATGTTTTGACGGTAAATCCATCATCGTCGGTGTGACTGTTATGAAAGTTTACAGCTGATAAAACGTGCCTGTTACAATGTACCGTATATGTTACATTTTATCGGAAAACAATACGCTACATAAAATTTAAAAAGGTTGAGTTTGATCGTCCGGGTGAACGTAGTCCTGAATAGGACTGTTGTTGTTGACAGTGACTGACGTTTCGACAACCTGTGCGGTAGTCATCTTCAGAGTCAAAGTGAGTTGTATCACGTCAGTTGATGGTATTATACTCGGGTTATTGATCTGATTGGTCAATTATGTCGCGATGTTATTGGTCGTCTGTCAGTTAAGCCGTGATGTTATCGGCTACGAAGACTCGTAATCAGTGATTGGTGCGTTTCGATCCGTCTATTGTCGCAGTTAAACAGTCGTCTATTGTTAGTCAAATTGTTAGTTCTCCAGTTGTTCTCTCGTAGTTAGGTTTGCTTGATCTCGTCAATAAGTCGTTTGTACGGCGCTGGTAACTGTTGACTACGATTCAGTGGCGTTTGTTCTAAGTTAGTAAACCAACTTTCTAAAGTAAGACGTTGATAGTAGTCTGTAGAATACGTTATACATGTCGCAGAGTCCCAGTCAATTTGATGTTTCGTCTTTAAATGGTGCTCAGCAATGTGATTGTTGACGTCACCATTCCTCGTCACGCGTTTGTGTCCGGTCAGTCGTGTGCTTAGGTTTCTGCCGGTTTCACCAATGTAAGAAGCCTGGCAGTCGCAGCATTTGATCTTGTATACTGCTCCTGTCTGTCCTCCGGTTTGTCTTTGTCCTTGACATTAGTAAGCAGTCGCCGTAAAGTGGTTATCGGTTTGTGTGCAACACGTATATTGTAAGTTTGTAATATACGTGCAATAGTTTCAGAGGTGCCTCTGATGTACGGTATAGTCGACAGCCTACAAGACGAGACTGATTATCTTAACAACGTTTTTAGTAAGAACAATTACAACACGGACTTTGTTAGACGGAACACTCACAGTAACACTGATTCCAACTCTCAGACCAACTCTGGCCCTGTTACGACAGCGACTATACCGTACATCAGAGGCACCTCTGAAACTATTGCACGTATATTACAACCTTGTTTATGAGCTGTCCTACAATAACCACAAAATAATATAACCTGGATAAGATAAACAGCCATAAAATCTCCAAGTGTACCAATCAAAGCAAAACATAAAACCAGCGCTGACTTCGACATGCTTTAAAAATACAAGTATTTAGATACTTCTAGACGCATCGCAACTTTTTACTAAATATAGACGGCAACTTTCTAACCGAAAACACAGAAAAACGCATGTTAGCCCAGGTTTCTCCAAGAATGTTTCATTATTTTCCAACCAGATACTTATTATAAACTGTCAAACAGAAACGAATAGTAACAAGACAAGTGCTTGTTTGTAACTTACTTTTTACCAGAGACCAATAATTAATTTTGTTTTCGTTAAGGGCTAATTCCGCTTCTTGCAATTCCGGTCTAAATGCTATACGAGTTAACCCAGTTATTTAGGAACAGCTATCAATAATAAAATTGCAATGGTTGAATGTCTACACGAAGCAAAACGATAAGGTATTAGTGTTCGCGTTGTTGTTTACTAAGTGATGATTTGTAGTCAGTTACGACCAAATTCCAAGAAACAAATCTCTACGCTTTTTCAGTACAAATATATAATCTTGCTTTTTTTATAGATGGTTTTCACAGTGATGTCATCAAATTGCACAGTCAAAATAGCGAGGTTTTACGAATTCTTATTTACACAAGCTTGAAGATAAACAAAAAGTAAATATTTGTTCAAGTTTCCATTCCCATAGCATGTTTCATTTCGAAAATACAGCAATTTGAACTTCCGAGTTTTTACAGTGAGTGACACCAAAATAGAAATGCTGTCTCGTTGAAAAAAGTCTCTCCTCTTGATTTTCAGCAGTATACCATTTCAAGTATTAGAAGATATTATGTTTATGCGCACGTATGCTAGTTCTTGAGTGAAAAGAAAGAGCTTTTCAGGCGCGGATCTGGAATAAATACTGACCGATTTCCTAAACGAGGGCCGAAGGCGCAAGCACTATCTAAGGGGGTCTGGGGGGCAGGCTTCCCAAGAAATGTTTTGGTGTTTAACTCTTTAAGTCCCCTTTCCTGGGTTTTCGAGTCACTCAGGTAGCATATTGCCCAGGTTTCAACTTGGAAAGTGTTTTTTATTATTAAAAATGTATTTATTATGAAAAATCCGACCGATTTCTGTAAAACGGTGGAAACCGGTGTGGATCCGTGCCTGCTTTTATAGAAAAAGTGAACTCCAGATGTTTTTGTCTATTTCCGGCAGCCATATTGGTGCACCAAAATGGTACACCAATATGGTGTCTCCATACAAAGCTCTACAAAGGTGCGTAAAACGTTTCAGCAAATAACTCAAAAACCGTGGGCCACAACGACCTGAGACTTGGACAAATTGTTTATAAATAAGTATTTTCTTGGCTTCTTCCACGGGACGGCTTCCAATTTATTTTTTTGTTGCATGACTGTGAAAACGATCTATAGAAAGAAAATGGTTAATATTTAAGTTTTATCACTACTGTAGTGAGAAGTTGCAATTCATTTCACTGCAACACACAAGCCACTTCATTCTTGTAATCCTTTGCTGTTGTAAGTAATCTAGTGTGTTCAGCGTGTCTAATACTCAAATTGCACGCTAAGTGTGCTATAAAATGCACGCTTACCATGACATAAAAAAATCATAGCACACTACAAGAAACAACAAGGAACGTCTTTTACTAAAAGTTAATCCACGATCTTAGGGGTAATAATCTTTCAAAGGTTGCTGCGTTGCCCACACAGTTGAAGACGATTGCGGTAGATTGGATTCTGAGTAAGAGGTGACAAACTCAGCAAGACGATCAAAAGAATTTGAGGTATTTAGAGGGACTGTCACGATACTACACGTGTGAGTTGTGACAGTAGCTGATTGTTTTTAAAACCAATCAAAAATGAGTTGGAAGTGCGCAAGAAAATTTACATAATTCAAATTCATTGTTCGCAATGAGGGAGTACTTCAGGACATTTGGTTCGATTTTATATATCCCCATAATTCATGTATTTATTCTCTGCTATTCCTCAAGTATATGTTGCAGCCAATAAGAATAAGATTTACAACCCTTTCCTACTTTGAAAAAAACATTTATGTGTATTTTTTCAAGATCTTTTATGAACCCACGCTGCTTTTCTTTGCTGATCATCTTCGTTATCATCCGTGCAACCTAGTTATTTCTTATAAAAAAATTGCAGAAACAAGCAAAAAAGTGTGCCCTGCAGCATAGTAAATTTTAATGGCAGCCCATTCCTTGAATAGTCTGCATACCACATGAAAAAGTATTGTTTTTGTTCCTCTTGCAGAAAAAGAATAACGACCACACTGATTAAATTAATAACTGGAGAAATAATTTCAAATAAATAACTGTAATGCTTTACAGATGTAAAAGAATCATCGTAGAGAGCAGTTAGCTTTCCTGGGGGAAGCCGATGAATATTGCATGATATGCAAGTATAAACATTGATCATTTTCTTTCATATTTTCAGCTCAGAGAAAATTTTTTTTTTTATATGGAGTATAAATCATCTCTGAGTTTCCATATTTGCACATTTCATAAGCAAATACATCACATACCTGCAACAATCACTTTAACAACACCCTCTGTCCTAGTTCCATCAAGGGCAGTTAGGACACATCTAAATTCAGTGGAGTCTTCATAAGTCATATTCTTTATAATAAGAGTAGCCTGGTCCCTTTTCTCAACTCTTCTGGAATACAGTGGTGGCAATTCAATATGATAGAAAACTGTGCCATCTTTCTCCTCTCCTATCATTTTCTTCCAACCATCGCCTTCCACGTACACATCCCAAGTAGCAAATTTTAAATCGGCTGGCTTTTTGTCAATGTAATACTCCCATTTCAAGGTTAAATCATTTCCTCTCAAAACATAAACTGTTTTTAAAGGCTCCTCGATAAATACGAGGGATCCATCTGTAAAAAAAAAAAAACAACTGTAAAATCAACAAAGGACTGACTGGCAAATATCGAGGAGCTACTGATACTTGGCAGGGTCCAACTGTGCATGACCCAACGTAACAATACTTCATGATTGTTCAAATTGCTTGAAGATAAATCTTAATCTTAATCCGTTTGTGAATGCTGCTGTAAATTTCATTCCTATTCATAATTTGATCCCTCAAGGATTTGCAGCATGATAGTGATATGACCCAGGCATGTGCGCAACCACATATTTGACAAGAGAACAAGACCTAAATGATTTTTGATTTGCTAATGCTGAAATACTGTTTGAATTTATTAAGCAAAGATCGGAGGAGCTTGCGCTAAGCAAGAAAAGAGCAAACTATGTTAAAGAAAAAAAAAGATCTCTGGAAACTGTTTTATTTGTACTTTATCATAAAAACTGACTGTAAATATTTGCGGGTAATTGTATTAGGAGGAATATTAAGCTGCTCTGAATTCATGTCTATGTAGACTTTCATATGGTGCGGACGAGGACTTTTCATACTTGATTGGAGCCAATTTTACCGACCCAAAAACGGGTCGGTGCGCTTTGACCAATCATAGTAGCTCCCAAGGACCCTTGGGGATAAAGCTGTCACCCACAAGTACCAAGCGCATTGAAACGTGACTTGCGGTTCCAATTCCAACACGGGGTCAATTGCGAAGTGGAAGGTGTTGACAGGCCAAACAGACTCATAAGCTCGTAATAGTGTGATACATGACCTTATAGTTTTGCTCTAACGAGGATATCTCCCAGCGATTTTGCTCTTTTACATGAAATGATGGAGGCTCGTATATTTCTCTCAGTAGTGGTTGATCTTGAATTAAGTGCCATTTGCTCATTAAAATGTTTTTAAGGTTCTACAAAGCAGGATGGTACGTGGTAACGAAAGGAAAAATTTTCTTTCACACTTCATTGTTCTTTCGTAAAGCTGACTTCCATTCGGTAAATTTAACCTCAGAGGTGATTTTTTTCTATGAGATTCTGAGGGTAAACTCTAGCACAAAGGCGTTGTTTGAAGTTGTAGATGTTTTCACAAAAGGATTTAGCTGAGGAGTTAGTTCTCAGAAGTCTATTGGCTTCGCCCTTTATGAGACCTTTTCTGACCACGTGAGGGTTACAGGAAGAGAAATGCGCATATTGAAAAGTCTCTGTAGGTTTAAAACGTGTGCGGATGTCAACGATTCCTTGGGTGTGAAATCTCCTTTCCCAGTATTGACGGGATTGAAACAAGCTTTTGCTTTTTTCCAGCCCCCTGAGGTTGTCAACCTTTGCACAAAGTAAACAAATTTGCTCCTTCAATGATGGAGATACACAAACACGTTCAACAAAGCCTTGGAGTCATGTTAGAATTTAAATATATCAAACGTGATTGGAATCACTATACCGCGGTTATGTTCAATAGATTTAGTCGGAGTGGAATCAGCACATTCCGCCACTGAAGTCAAGGACTCGCAAATGAAACCTGAAACCCCAAATGCAAGTCACGCAACTCCCCATTTTTGACGCAAAATGCAAATGGAAGCCCATCAAGTGAGACAAGTCGACCTCTCACGACTTTGTCGATCGCAGTTGGCCGCTTCGCGGCCAAACAAGGCTCGCTCCACTCGCCAAGAGGTCGAATTGTAGCAAGTCTAATGTCTATGCAGCTACTACTTTTGCAGGTTAACAGTTGTGCTTGAGTAACGGCATTCAAAATTAAACTAAGTCTTGTATAATACTAGCCTGCTGCCCACCATGCAGACATTCTTACAGGTAAATCGTCACACGTTCCTGCCCCACTAGCATCTGCTGACTCGAGCGGTAAAGAACATAGACCAACCACAGCACACTTCCAGATCTGGGAAGTGCACTTTGGACCTGAGAAATTTCATGCGAGACTCAGCTCCAGAAAAGGTCAGAAAGGTCTTGAAAGGAGAAGACCTCATACTTTTAGAACAAACTACCCAGATAACTCACACACCTTCATGTTAGACTGCCCTTGCGATCTCACTAAAATAGCACAACAAGCTTTCAGTGTGCATAAATGCATGCAAAGCGCGTTATCTAAAGCTACAGTACTGCACAAAGGTACTCGAAACTTGATTCTCCCCTGTTAGAGGTGAGAATCGAGTCTCGGCTCTTGAGTTATGAAGAAAACATAATGTTTGAATATTCATCAGTCAAAAGGATTTCAGTAAAAAAATTTGCTTATCTGAACTTTTGGATAATTGGGCCTATGTATTTTTGTATGAAGGCTACCTTATGAATCATCAAATATGTGTTTGTTTTTGGTGCATAACTTGCTTTGGGTCGCCGGCATGATCAGTTAAGATGGCAAAGGAGAAATATGGGCGTGAAGTTTATTACTCGGGAATAGTTGTCAAAATGGTAATGTTTATGAGCTGTATACAATAAACACAAAATAATATAACTTGGATAAAGATGAACAGCTATTAAATCTCCAAGTGCACCATTCAAAGCAAAACATAAAACCGGCACTGACTTCGACATGCTTTAAAAATACAAGTATTTAGATACTTCTAGACGCATCGAAACTTTTTACTAAATATAGACTGCAACTTTCTGACCAAAAACACAAAAAAGACACATGTTAGCCCAGGTTTCTCCGAGAATGTTTTGTTATTTTCCAACCAGATACTTATTATAAACTTTACGGCAGCGGAAGTCAAACAGAAGCGAACAGTAACAAGACAAGTGCTTGTTTGTAACTTACTTTTTACCAGAGACCAATGATTTTTCTTTTCGTTAAGGGCTAATTCCACTTCTCGGAATTCCAGTCTAAATGTTATATGAGTTAACCCAGTTATTTTGGAACAGTGATCAGTAATAAAATAGCAATGGTTGAATGTATACACGAAGCAAAATGTTAAGGTATTGGTGTTCGCGTTGTTGTTTACTAAGTGATGATTTGTAGTCAGTTACGACCAAATTCCAAGAAACAAATCTCTACGCTTTTTCAGTACAAATATATAATCTTGCTTTTTTTATAGATGGTTTTCACAGTGACAAAATTGTACAGTCAAAATAGCAGGGTTTTACAAATATTATTTACACTAGGGTATCTAAAAGATAGTAATGCTGTGGCACATTCTGTTGATACTGGCATTAGTTAGGCAGTGAGACTTAAAAGAATCAAAAATGAAATGGAATGTCCTATTTACATGTTGGAAAGTACTAGAATAATTACTATCAGTCTATAGAAAGAACTTGTGGGAACGTTGTTTAGAAAATAATCAAGTGGTTATCAACTCTGGTTTTCCAACAGTAAATTGTAGGAAATAATAGAAATTGAGATTGTTTATCCAGATATTTAATATACAGTGCACGATATTTTCTCTGGAAACACAATACTTTTCTCGCTGTTTGTTGCACTTTATTAAGTAACAGATATTTAGGTATACATTAATTTTATAGAAAACAACAACACAAAAAACGGAAAAAAAAAGAAATTAGGAATGTATAATTCGGTAGGACACGAACCCGGCACCTACGACTCGACGCGACTACACCTAACCACTACACCACAGAGGCTGATTACGTAATTTCTGGGAAAAGTGTTTCATTTTATTCCTTTTCTATGAAACTTCCGCCGGCAAGATGATCGCCAGCCGCATTAACCGAGCTATTAACAGTGAAAAAACAATGTAAACGCATATTACATGGCAATGAATGAATGAAAGAACACAATTATGCTTTTCAAAACGCCGATACACGTCCTGGTCTGCACAGCAGGACACAAAACATATGTTTTGTTATCTCGATTTCGAAGCGAATGGTCAAAATCACCTTCTAGCAAGCTGGAATTTGTATATCCCCCGTGTTGTTGTCTCCATACAAAGCTCTACAAAGGTGCGTAAAACATTTCAGCAAATAACTCAGAAATCGTGGGCCACAAGGACCTGAGACTTGGACAAATTGTTTATAAATTAGTATTTTCTTGGCTTCTTCCTCTGGACAGTTTCCAATTTATTTTTTTGTTGCATGACTGTGAAAACGATCTATAGAAAGAAAATGGTTTAATTAAGTTTTATCACTACTGTAGTGAGAAGTTGCAATTCATTTCACTGCAACACACAAGCCACTTCATTCTTGTAATCCTTTGCTGTTGTAAGTAATCTAGTGTGTTTAGTGTGTCTAATACTCAAATTGCAGGCTAAGTGTGCTATAAAACGCACGCTTACCATGACGTATAGCACACTACAAAAAACAACAACAAACGTCTTTTACTAAAAAGTCAATCCACGATCTTAGGGGTTATAATCTTTCAAGGGTTACTGCATTGCCCACACAGTTGACGACGATTGCGGTAGATTAGATTCTGAGTAAGAAGTGACAAACTCAGCAAGAGGATCAAACGAATTTGAGGTATTTAAAGGGACTGTCACAATACTGCACATGTGTGAGTTGTGGCAGTAACTTTTTAAACCAATCAAAAATGAGTTGGATGTGCGCACACTTTCAGATCTGGGAAGTGCCCTTTGGACCTGAGAAATTTCATGCGAGACTCAGCTCCAGAAAAGGTCAGAAAGGTCTCGAAAGGAGAAGACCTCATACTTTTAAAACAAACTACCCAGTTGACTCACACACCTTCACAGTAGACTGCCCTTGCGATGTCACTGAAAATTTTACCTTGAAGATTTCATTTGCTGAATGGAAGTCAACTTAACTACAAAACAATAAAGTGAGAAAAAAAATCTGGCTTTTGTTCACTTAAAAAGTACAACCCCGCCATTACCTGCTTTTTTCTTACTTGCATAATCATGGTGGCAACACGCTCAAAGACGTTCTCTGATTCAAAACGTGGAAATCTTGAGGGAGACGATTTCCAAATGCCCCTTAAACTAGTGAAAGAGTTGCTTAAGCAGCAAGAGTAAACTTTAAAAGTGTTTCTTAGTGCCTACATGGATTCTGTCAACACTACTAAGAACTGACAACTTGATGAAAGATGTGCAAAGTGTTAAAACAAG